AAAAAATAGATTTAATAGGGAAACTGTATACATTTTAATTGATGATTTTGAAAAATCAGTGTTTTACCCAAAAAACAAATTTGGAAAAGAGACTATATCAGCTGAAAAGCACATTCTTGCGTTTTTATGGTAGTATACAAATTGATACCTATATGAACACAAAAAAGCGTTAACGATTACCAAGAATCAATTCTCAAACGATTACGAAGTCAGAAATCATACAGAGGTTATGAAATGAGCACTAGAATTTGATGCGTGTTCGATTTAATTGCATGCTCAGAGTGTTTCGGGCAAAACTTTGTAGCACTCGTGGCGAACTTTACGTCATAGCAGTGCGCACTACACGTTCATAATGCATATAAATCGAAATCGTCATTAGGTAATAAAGTAATAAAGGACAACCGGCAACAGCGCCAAATCGAATAGTACTTGTAGACGTTTATTGGTGGCGTCCCTGTGGCGTCTTATTTCACGTTTTTGATATCGCAGCCATTTCGTGTTGTATTACGGCGACGTTACTTTTTAGTCCTAAAGTTTAAGTTTTTCTGATTTTTGTCTCCAATATTTATAATAAACTACAATGAGTGATCGTGAGGTAAGTGTTTTAATAGTTTTGGTGTATAATAAATTTACTTTTACATTCTTATTTGTAATTATAAATTTCGAATCCACCGGCGCAGCGTACTAACGCGTGTCTGGCGTCGGTAAAAATTTGTCATCGATTTAAGTGTAAAGTACAGCATTATAGTCTTTAAATAGATTGACTTTTTAATTGTATTGATGAAACATTTTCTCGCTATTAGGGAAGTCGATCTCCTGGCCATAAAACAAAGAATGACCACTCACCACACGCGAGGCGGGAAGATTCACCAAGAAACCACAAGGGTAAAAGTTATTCAAGGTAAATTTTCTATTTTGCTTATATCAATGATAATGATGTCACTATTAAGATACCCACAAAAATTAAATGAGAAATTAAAATCTATTGTGTAATAGGCCTTATTTTTATAATTGCATGATGTATTTTGTAATATGATTTCGGCACATAATCACAATTAGTCAATGTATCAACGATGTGATTTTTTTTTTTTTGATAGAACTCGGCACATAAGTAAATGTTTAGAGAAGTGCCAAACATGCTCCATAGGTCACCAAATTCGGCATTAAGAGTACATTTTACAGAATAGGGGTAGAAAATTAGGAGGACATTATATTAGCTGTTGTTTACATGAATTGATATGTGAGATTGAGATAAATATGTACATGTGTAATCACAGGGCTCTTATGAATTGGTAGGAATTTCCATTGCATCAATATATTTAGTTGTTACCAGTTTAATTTATTAGTGTAACATTTGTGATAATCAAGTGTTAAAGAAAATAGATGCGACTTATTGTATACAGAATGTGAGACAAACTGGATCAGTTTTACATGAGAACAACAATTTTACATACAATACAGAATGTTAAGAGCCAGTTATCTTAAAAACCCTTCCATTAAAATCCATGTATTAGATTCTTTCAAAAATCGCTGGCGATCATTGCCAGGTTTATCGCTACCTTAAAAATCAAAGACTTGAATTCGATTTAGTATAATCTTGCTTCCTTAACAAGTTATTAACCTTAAAAAAACACATTTTTTTTAAACGTTACGTTAAGTGGTGCATTTCACCTTTTAGTATACTTTTTTGTTTAAGTAATTTCAAGAAATATTTTGTTTCGTGTTTCGTCAATATCTATGCTAAGGTATAATGTTGGCGACTGTCTTAGATTAAGAAAAATTGTCTTGTTCCAAAAATCCCCCCATTTCAAATGTTATCAAAATATCTTTAAATGTGATAGAATTCTCTAAAAAAAATGAGTCAGTTTTTTTTAAGGCTGATCATTTCCAAAGGGAACAATTTCAATAAAAAAATTTCAGTTATTATAATTTTGCTTTTTATTATTAATATAATTTTGTCAATAAAGTATCTAGAATTTGTCAATAAAACAATATATTTAATTAATAACACAGGCACACAAAAAAAAAAATGTCAAGACCCAGAGGGTAGACCCCCCCCCTAGCCCTCCGTTTTTGGGGTTGCTGAAACCAAATATGACCATTAAAAAAAAAATTAACTAGCAATTTCCTTGTTACCACCCCCATACACCCCCTTCTGGGAGTTGAAATGTTGATTCTCATACAAAGTCCAGTAGGGTGTCTATTTCTATGTTTTCTGGGCCACTAAGAACGAAGAAGACTACCAAAAATGAATTAGCACCCTCGTTACCCCATAGCGTCTCTTTACCACCCCGTACACCCCTTTCTGGGAGTTGAAATGTCAATTCTCATACAAAGTCGAGTAGGGTGTGTATTTCTATGTTTCCTGGGCCACTAAGAACGAAGAAGACTACCAAAAACCCCCTCGTTACCCCCTAGCGTCACTTTACCACCGCCATACACTCCTATATGAGGGTTGAAGTGTCAATTTTCATACAAAGTCGAGTGGATTGTGTATGCCTACGTTTTCTAGATCGCTGAAAACAAAAGTGGGTGACAAAGGGTGCTGAGGGTTGACGAGGGGATTGTATTCATTTTCGGTAGTCTTCTTTGTTTTCAGCAGCCTAGAAAATGTAGGCATACACAACCCACTCGACTTTGTATGAAAATTGACACTTCAACCCCCACAAAGGGGTATATGGGGGTGGTAAAGTGAAGCTAGGGGGTAGTGAAGAGATATAATTCATTTTTGGTAGTCTTCTTCGTTCTTAGTGACCCAGAAAACATAGGAATACACACCCTACTGGACTTTGTATGAGAATTGACATTTCAACTCCCAGAAGGGGGTGTATCGGGGTGGTAACGGGGAAATGGCTAGTTAAATTTTTTTTATGGTCATATTCGGTTTTAGCGAACCCAAAAACGAAGGGGCAGGGGTTGTACCTTCTGGGTTTAACATTTTTTTTTTGTGTGCCTGTGAAATGAATCCAACCCCCTCGTCAACCCTCAGCATCCTTTGCCACCCACATTTGTTTTCAGCAGCCTAAAATACGTAGACATGCACAACCCACTTGACTTTGTATGAAAATTGACACTTCAACCTCCATAAAGAGGTGTATGGGGGTGGTAAAGTGACTCTAGGGGGTAACGAGGGGGTCTTATTAATTTTTGGTAGTCTTCTTCGTTCTTAGTGGCCCAGAAAACATAGGAATACACACCCTACTTGACTTTGTATGAGAATTGACATTTCAACTCCCAGAAGGTGGTGTATGGTAACGGGGAAATGGCTAGTTAAATTTTTTTTAAATGGTCATTCGGTTTCAACGACCCTAAAAACGGAGGGCTAGAGGGTCTACCCTCTGGGTCTTGACATTATTTTTTGTGTGCCTGTGTAATCAAAATTTATTTTGTCTCCTTCAAAATAAGCTTCATTTGAAGCAGTACACTTTTCCAACAAATAACCCAGTCGTCAAAGGACTTTTTAATTAATATTCCGGTATGGACTTAAACTTCTACAGAGATTTTAGTTTTATGGCCTTTATCGACTTGAAACGTGTTCCATGATGTTGTAGTTTGAGTTTGGAAAAAGAGGAAAAAGTCAACAAGGGCCATGTCTGACGAATACGGTGCCTGCTGGATGACATTCGTTGCGTTTTTGGTCAAAAATTCATTCACAATTAATGCTATGTGTGATGCAAAATCCAAGAATTGTGTGGACTACACCAGGATAGTCAAAGAAAACAGTCAACTTGACTGATTTTTAATCGACTGACATGGTTTTTTTTATTTCGGCTCATTAGAAAAGCGCTATTCCGAAGCTTGTTTGCATGTCAAACTTATAAACCGATGTCTCATCACCCGTTATGATGCTTTGTATTAATGTAAAGTCCAAACTAGCTTGATCGCCTTGATCAAGCATGTCTTCAGCAACATGTTCGCGATGCTCTTTTTGAAGAAAATTCATCTCTTTTGCAACCAGCCCTTTTGCAATGCATTTCATACCCAAAACATTGACTACTATTGGAACGAACTGATTTGTGAGATAGTTCAGTTCATATACCAGCTCTCTCAAACTATAATGATGGTTTGCAACTACCATTTTCTTCACTTTATGGATGTTTTCTTCCAGTTCACTTGAGTTTTCGATAAAACTCAATAACACACGTTGGGTTGACTAACAAAATTAAGAGCTGTAAACAAACTACTTAACAGATCGTGCTCAAACTCAAACTTCGCGAGTAGAGAACATTGCTACCAGTATCAAAAAGGAAATTTAAATCTACTTTACACGGAATTTTTAAATTACAAATTCCGGTAACTTATTTGACAGAATGCAGGGCATTATTGCATTTCTAAATTCCATAAATAAATTGAAACCATATACATATATTGTTTAATAATGTTTTAAAATTTTGTTATCCCGTAATTATGTAATATAAAAAGTATTTATGTGTGTATAGGAGTCCAAGCAGAAGCAGAAAAATTTCTTATAGAGATGGTGATCGTGACAGAGAAAGGCGCAGAGACAGGGAAGATCGGGAAGATAGAGATAGAGTATACAGGTAAAATATATGTTAATAACTTTTGCGAATTACAAGAATTTATTTTTTTCTGAATGTGCAGCATAACATTTTTTTGTAATTAACCACTTTTTCACCTTTGAAAATTGAACATAAGTTTTTGAAGAGATGGATTGTCAGATTATTAAAAAGTCGAAAGTTGAGTAAATTAAATTTGGAGTATGGTATTATATTTTTTAAAGTTGGGTGTCAATTACTTCTAATTCAGAACTTCTACAAGGTTTTCCTTAATGAAAGTTAACACAAAAAGTTCTAATGTACCAGGGGTCAATTCCAGCTCCTTACGAAGATATAGCAGCTTGAAGTTGACTTGTCATTTTTCTTTTTTCTTTTTTTGGTCTAGTAAATGTAGTATAATATTGAACACAGAAATAGTTTATTTTTTTAGTTCACAACTCATTGATTTTAAAGTAACCATCTTTAGTGTTTAGAAATATTTATTTACATGTGAAGATAAACATCAGTTTTTTTTTAATTTTTCTTAAACCATGTTCTTTACTTTTTCAATGGCAATAATTTTTTCAGTTACCCTCTGTCTTTCATGCTACAAAGACAAAAATAACATTTTCCAAGAGATAACTAAAAAAGTACCTTCCGTTTTTTTTTGTGACACTGAATACAATTACAGTACATTCTCATTGATCCGGCACTATTAAAAACCTAAGAGTACTGGAAAATTCGAATTAAGCAAATATGTATAATATAAACAGTATTAAATTAAAAAACGTTATTTTTAATTGTTTATTAACAAAGAGATTGGTCCATTATACATACCTACATATTACATTTGGATGTGCATATATATCAGGGTTCGTAGCGGCCGGGAAAACCGGGAATACCGGGAAAAGTCAGGGAATTCGTTATTCTTCATAAAAAACAGGGAATAGTCAGGGAATTTTAAAAATATTCATGAAAGTCAGGGAATTTGATGTTTGCAACTGGGGTCCTGGGTTCTTGAAAGAGAAAAATATTTGTGGTTTTGAAACCTTTATAAGAGGTTCTTAGAGTATAAAAAGATTATGGGCTCCAGTTGAGAAAAAATTTAATGCATAAACACCAATTAGTATGTAAAAATGAACTACAAGTGACCTGGATTTTATTTTGAAAGTCAGGGAAAACCTGGAAAAGTCAGGGAATTCATTCTTACTTTTGAACTATGAACCCTGTATATGTATATTGTAATGTTTTTATTTTTCTGTAAAATAATCTTTCAACTAAACTACAACTATAAACTGTATTCTTCAAGGATAGTAGACAAACGCGGAAAAAATAATGCCGAATTACTGTAATAGCAAAATTGTTTACCAAATTTGGTACTGTTTTAGAAGATATATAAAAAAAATTCATCTTCCTTTTCAAGCTGCTGTATTTTCCAAGGCATATACCTATCTGGGAAATCTGGAAATATTGGGAATTCCATAGATTTGAAAATACTTAAGAAAATCAAGGAATTTCTCAAAATATAGATTTTTTTAAATTAACAATTGCAATTGGTTTTTATTTATAAAGGGTTAGTGTCTATACTACTGTATTGTATGTTTGTTGGTTGACTGCCATTAAGAATTAGTTTATACTAATATTCTCATTTGCATTTTATTTTTTTTATATAAAATTCAAACAAAGGGGCAGTATTTTCCTGTGGAATGTTGCTAACCATTAAACTCTGCACTACTTTGTCCAATAAACTTTTCATTATCTCTAGTTCGATTTTATTCAACCAATTAGGAGAAATTAATTCACCTGATTCTGAGTCAAACACGGGTACAATATTGGTTCTAATCATACTTGATGACGAACTTGTTAATGACGGCTGCAATGTTGACCGCTGCTGCTGTTGTTGAACTTGTTTCACACTTGCCGGACCGGCTGGCTCTCACACGTAATTTAATTTTCAAACCTGTTTGGCCGATATTAGTCCCAGTTGCATTTTTATCACAAGAGATGGATTGTAGACGCATTGCAATTATGTGGCTTAGCTACTGCCGACGATGTCGCAATAAAAAAAAAAAAAAATATCCCAAAAATATGAAAAGGCTATAGTTTTGTCCCACTGGACAGGTCTGGTTTCAACCAGTGATATAAAGAATTCAATCTCTACTTCTAGCGAACAAACATTTTTGGTGATTATTTCCTCAATCCTCACTTTCTTGGATTTTTTTGTGTCTGTATCTGAGCTGGTACTACTTTCAAGATTTTCATGTCCTTTCTTNTAACCATTAAACTCTGCACTACTTTGTCCAATAAACTTTTCATTATCTCTAGTTCGATTTTATTCAACCAATTAGGAGAAATTAATTCACCTGATTCTGAGTCAAACACGGGTACAATATCGGTTCTAATCATACTTGATGACGAACTTGTTAATGACGGTTGCGATGTTGACTGCTGCTGCTGTTGTGAACTTGTTTCTAAGCGTCGTTTCACGCTTGCCCGGCTACCGGCTAGCTCTCACATGTAATTTAATTTTCAAACCGGTTTAACCGATATTAGTCTCAGTTGCATTTTTATCACAAGAGATGGATCGTAGAGGCATTGCAATTATGTGGCTTAGCTACTGCCGACGACGTCGCAATAAAAAAAAAACAAAATATCCCAAAAATATGAAAAGGCTAAAGTTTTGTCCCACTGGACAGGTCTGGTTTCAACCAGTGATATAAAGTATTCAATATCTACTTCTAGCGAACAAACATTTGACATAGTTGCGTACAAATATTTAAAAAAATAATTGACACGTCTTGTTCTTTTCAATTAAACCGGACGACTGAACCCAGCAAGCACCCGGTAAGTGTGAAAGCGTCAATACAAAACTACGCACTACTACCAGCCGGGCTGGTAGTGGTGGTGACCGGCTACAAACCGGCGGCTGCTCGCCGGTTAGCTCCTTCCGTCACTTGTGAAAGCTGCCATAAGACTGTACTTTGCTGCCGGGTAACTGGATCCGGTTAGCCGGTTCCGGCATGTGTGCAACGAGTGTAACTCTTCACAAACCTTTTTGGTGATTATTTCCTCAATCCTCACTTTCTTGGATTTTTTTGTGTCTGTATCTAATCTGGTACTACTTTCAAGATTTTCATGTCCTTTCTTTGACCTTTCAGATGTATATTTATGTTTACGGGTTGTCTTTTGGACATGGTATTCTGTCACACTATCACTACTCATCACGAAAACACTAACTTCGAATTCCACTTCTGAATTTGCATCGACACTTTTGGATTAATCAAAATGCTTTTCACTGAACCACAATTTATTTTATAAAACACATCTTGTACAGCAGAAGAAAATATAATAATCTGATAAATTAACGGATAATACCAAATGTATAAGTTACATAACGCACTTTTTATTCTACAAAGAAATTAAATCTGTGAAAACAATACCACAGCGTGTATTATCATTGCCTGAAATATTTTAACATGCAATAAAACAATTTTTAATTAGAATGTGAACTACATAATGGGTTGATTAAGGACATTATTTTATTAGGCCAAAATTAAAAATCACATTTTTCAAAAAATATAAGGCTTTATGAGCCAAATTCTCAATTTATTTTGACTAAATTTAAATTTTCATATTAAGAAAAAAATCTAAATAGGTCAGTTTTTAATTTTTTTTGTTTTTAGTGGCGGTGTTTTTATTTTTAATTTGAGTTCCTACCATGCGAAGATTTTTAAAAGTATTTTCCAAAATCAACTTAAATCTACACAATTTATATGTGAACAAAGCAAAATAAAAATTACATGGTAGGAACAACTGTATAATATTCCAATTTGGCGTCAAACACTAGTTCCGTTTCCTCCTTTCCTTTTATTTTCTTTTGTTTTATTAACTCGCACACACGCACTTGTTATTCAAGAATATATTTATTTTATATAGAACTACTACACCAGTTTACATATTTAGTTGTATTAATAATCCCTTAAAGTTCAGTAATACATATTTTATGATGATCACAATTTTTATAATAATCACTGTTAAACATTTACGCGGTAGGTAACGACGAAAAAGATAGGAAATTATTATTGGAAAATGGAAACCTGAGAATACTAGGTAATTTTTTTGTCAAAATTTACTATTCACCATCTTCGTAAGAATTGGCCATTAGTTCGTTGGAACTTTTTGTGTTAATTTTTTCCAAAGAACATCTTGTAGAAGTTTGGCAGTTGAATTAAGTGATGCCTTTCATACACATTAAAAAATAGACAATTTTGTTTAGTTTCTATTACAATTTGGAATGATGTTTGTTCCAAGAAAATTTTCCATTTCTTTTTTATTTTACGCTACATTATATGTTTTTTACATTTCTTATCATGTTCATTAATTCATCATTCAAAATCATCTGTCTGTAATCTACCAATAACTAATGTTATTTTTCTTTTGTATAATATTATTAATTATAAATAATTATAATATTTAATTTCTTAAGCCTTGTACACACTAGGGCAAATTTGTATCGGCATAGTATCATTCTGTCTCAGAACAAGTCTTAGCATATGCGGCATATTACTGACGATAAGAATGGATGTAGCAAAATTGCCCCTAGTTTGTATAGGACATTAAAGTGTTATGCTGAATTATTATGCTTGAGTGAATTAACTGCATTTTACTGTGAGATGTTTCTGACTGTAACTTGTAGCACATTATTGGACTAAGGCGTTGTCTGGGTTGAAACCGAAACCATCATTTCTTTTTTTATTTTTATGCTTGCTATGTAGTAAGTTAATATATAGAGCACATCTGGTTGTGTGGCTACACATAACATAAGGAACATTTTTAAACATGTGCGATTTAGATTAGACTTAATTTGACCTTTCAGGTCGCGGAGTCGATCACGCTCAGACAGACGTTACAAGTCCTCGAGATATTCGCGAAGTCATTCGCGATCTCCGGGATACGGCCGACGGTCACACTCACATAGCCCTATGTCTAGTCGCAGGCGTCACATGGGAACACGCGACAATCCTAAGCCCTCTAGATGTCTTGGAGTTTTTGGACTAAGCGTTTATACTACTGAAGATGAACTGTATCACATTATGTCAAAATACGGACCAGTTGAGAGAGTACAAGTTGTAATCGATGCTAAGGTAAGTTTTTGGTAATTTAGATGTCTTAGTAGTTTATAAATTTGAATTTATATTTACCTTATTTACATTTACATAATGACAAAAATGTGTGAGTGATCCGTACAGGTTTGTAATTTATTTCTACACAACATGATGAGAAATAAATACTCGTAGAAACATAATTCTGAACAGATCAACTATAAATAATCAAAAATCCGTTAAGAGAAAGGGCATGCCAATAACCTATTATACCAACGCTAATTTACCTAATACATCTCTGTAAAGTAAAAGAGAACTGCTCTCTGCCACAATTTGCAAGTAGTCGCTAAATAAAAAAAGGTATGAGGGTTGTCTTTTATATTATTTCGGGAAAGGATCATTGTGCTGCCATCTGACAACTGACGTCCCATGTCCCTCTCGTAAAGTTAGACTTTTTGTCAGTATACATACTCAGAACGTTTTGATATACATGGGCTATTTATGTTGTTTACAGTGACTGAAAAAATTAATCTTGGCCAAAAAATGGAATTAAGTTAATATTTCCGTGCAATATTTTTTACAACTTTCAACGTGGATTATCTCAACAACAGTGCGTTGATGAACTTAAATCGACTTTTGGCAATGAAGTACCATCAAAAACTACTTCAATCTTGGCTGTGGTTCCCTCATTGACAAATTTTGTGAAGATTGTATAAAATTGGTTGTTGTTCTGGAAAACATTGATATTGTGTTTGAACTAATATTGAAAGATCATCATGTGATATCGTAACAGGTGATGAATCATGAATCTGTGCCAGTGTCAGCCAGAAAGTAAACATAGTCAACTGTATGGGTCTTTCAGATGAAGATCCAACAAAAGTTATTCACACACAAAACACTTGTAAGCAAATGGTCGTCTGTTTTTTTCGGAAAAACTGAACATGTGGTGACTACCATTAGTGCTACGTTAGTTGGTCAACTCTGAATGGTACACAACCATTTATTTGTCAGAAGTCTTTGGAAGAAACCAACTGCTGAAGACCCATCATTCTCCACTTGGCCATTGCGGAAACAAGAGACTGAGAACTGACAAAGACGAATTGATAATTCGTCATACAGAGCTCATTAGGCACCCAGTGACTTTTTTATTCTTGTGCATCAAAAATAAATTACGAGGTCTGAAAAAATGGTTGATGCGTTCAAATCCATTTTTAGAGGTACTTCAATCGGATTGGAAAATTGTTTTAATGCTTGCAAAAATATATTGATCTTCATGGAGAATATTTTGAAAAAAATAAAGCCGTATACGATGATTAATTTCTGTATATCCAAAATATAATATAATAAATCTACTGATAAGAATATTTTTCATCGTGTATAAAAAAAAAATGTAATGCTCAAAATGTATTATTTACTCTTGAACCTTAATAATAATTTATTACAGTAGAACGACTAGTATTTACTGCATGAAAACTGGTATTTATTATTATCTTAATTTAATTTTTAGACTGGCCGCTCCAGAGGATTTTCATTTGTATATTTTGAAAGTACCGAAGATGCTAAAGTAGCTAAAGAACAGTGTTCAGGAATGAAGATAAATGGTAAAAATATTAGAGTTGATTATTCAATAACGGAAAGGGCACACACACCAACACCAGGCATATATATGGGAAAACCTACATAGTAAGTAGAAATTTTTATTATATATTTTTTGAAAAAACTGAAATAGATTTAATTTCTAACTTAGTTATTATGTAAATTCGTAAATAACCAGGGATCGGAAAGATCCTTTTTGTTTGTTCTTGAAAATCTTGAAATATAAATTACAAAACTTGCAAAGACATTCAACATACCGGACTGGCCATATCTTTATTTCCGATACAAAGTTTGTAAATTATATAAATATTTCACCAGTCACCCCTAATAATTCTGACTCCGCCCCCATATCATTTGTTTAACTTGATTCCACCGAAATAAGGGAATAAAAAAATGCCATAAGAACTGCGCAAAACCTGCGGTTCTAAGCTCTCCTTGACTAGGTATTGGTTTATTGTCTCTGTCTTGCATTAGGAATTTGGGAACAACATACCTCTAAGATACGTACATACGGAAGATAGAATACTGGACAATAGTTACGTTTTTGATTTATTGCGATGGTATAAAGAGTATAAGCCACGGCCTGGAATTGACAGCAGTGTTGCCATACGTACAGTAATTACCCTATTTGTACGATATTTTTTTACAAGATGAGAGGTTTTGAATTCATACTAAAGCATTCCAACTTTATTACAAATTATTTACAACTTTTAGTAAAAATTAAAATGCTATTCTAAAATAAAATGAGTGGTAAATCTTAAGCAAAATAATGAATTATTTTCAAATGCTTATTATTAACTAATAAGGTGTTCAAACAAACCACCTGCTTGAGCTTCACAATACCCTGTCGTATAATTCTTGATGAACATCAACAAGTTGCGTTAAATGACCTCATAAAATGAAGTCGCAGGGTGTCAGATCTGGAGATCGAGGAGGCCAAGGTATGATACCTCTTGTGGAAATAAGCCTTTCAGGAAAAGATTGTTCCAAATAATCTTGAACTGGCCTTGCGTTGTGTGCAGAACATCCGTCTTGCTGAAACCAAATTTCCTCAAAATTTACATCCAAGTTTCGTACAGTTAGTATTTTGTAATAAATGCAAATTTTTCTTAGCATTTAAGTTATCATCAATAAAAAAGGGACCCACAATATTATCGCATAAAATGCCAACCCAAACATTTACGTTTTGAGGGTACAGCATTCTTAATGGTATACTTAAATGCTTGTTTTCCCGGGACCAATATTAGACCACTGAAAGATTATGACGGCCAAGTAGGGAAAAAGATGATTCGTCTGTAAATAAAATCTGCCTAGTAAATTCATTATTTTCATCTATTTTTTCCCCTAATGGATTCACAAAACTCCATACGCCTTATTTGATCACTGGGAATAATTTCTTGAGAAGTTTGCATTTTATAGGCTTTATAACCGTTCTCTTTTAAGATGCGACGAACCGTACGACTTGGCATGTCAAGTTCTTCGGAAATTTGGGAGGAACACGGCCCACTTACTTCCATAAAACCACCTCTTTTTCTCTCCTTGCTTCAGGAATTTGATGAGATTCCTGATTGCTACATTTCGTACACCGATTAACACATCTACACTCCTCAAACTTATGAAAAATATTCAAAACAGTTGTAGCAGTGGTCACTGATTCGTCGGGGTATGAAAATATAAATTGACCAAAGACTTCCTCTGCACTTTCTGCACGACAATACCATTTAATATTAATTTTTTGTTCCGCACTACACCATTTTTATTTTGTAATATTCCGTCTACTTCAAAGGTTTGAGTGGAATAATAATAAAAATAAAACTAAACAAACAGCAAAGCGCTTTAAGTATTGGGTCGATTCACGAAAAATGCAATGGGGCACGTGCGTTCCCACAGCCAGCCAATTATGAGAGTCCGAGTCGCAGCCTCGATGAGATATGTCATGTCCAACCCCTTCCACCCTAAGTTGATAGGGGAGATGCATGTAATTTACTTGGCCAGACCGGTATAATGAAAGCTTTAAAAAAAATACCAAACATATGTTGTATTTTAAATTTAGTAGTCATTACATAAAAATCTAAAAATAAGCAAATTGGTTCAGTATACTGATTTTGAATGTGCTTCGGAGTTGCTTTGGAGTCGTCTATTTTCTTTTCAGTGCATTATAAAATATCAAAATATGTGCAGTTAGAGTTTTGAAATTAACGTTTAAATTTAAAGTTTTAGAAAATGGTATTGGAACTGCAATTATGTACAGTCATATTCACTTTCCACTATATTCTTGAGTTTTTGAAAAATATTTTTAATTGATCTGTTATTACTGGTCTCTTTCTTTCATTATAACTTGAATTATACAAGAATGCTTAATAATAATATGTGCCAAATAAATCACGGGATTAACTGATGGCTTACAGTAGCCTATTGGTTGATATTTGGGGACAAATTTAAAATCTTAAATTTATTTAAAGAAAATTTCCTATAAAGTTTCTTGGGAGAATTTCTAAAACCATTGAAAGAAGCTTTTCCAAAGGATTAAAATTTCTTTTCTTTTTTCTTTATTTTTGGGTATTTTGCCACCTGTGAAAAAATTTAAAAATTTCTGAAATAAACCCTAGCGCCAAAAGGATCAGTCAAGGGTTATTGTTTTGAAATAAACACCACTTTATATTGCTCACTTTAAAACAACATTTCGAAAATTTATTTGTTTCCGTCTTCTGAACTTTTGACTTTTCATTTTAGTTACTTTGACAATTTAAAGTGTTAAAAACAGATTTTCGAAACGTCAACAACTATTTAAAGTGCACGATATGAAGTGATGTTTTTTTGTTTTTTATATTTGTCTGCTTTTTTGAGTGTGAGATTTTTTGTTTAGGCAAAACTATTTTCATAAAAATTACCCTTGAATGATCCTTTTCGCACAAGGGTTGATTTCATTAACCCTTTCGCTGCGCAATACGTCTGAACGTAGCTACCGTGCCGTGCGCGAAAGTTTATCGCGTGCGAATATATACGTCTGGAGCAGTTAGACCACTTATAGTTTTACATTATGTTGTGTTAAATTACGATTTACGATAAATTTTACGATTTTATTTTGAATAAAATACAGTATATGTACTAAATAGAAACTGAAAGAAACATGAACAATCTTGGTATTATTACCAGTACCTCTTTTCATAAAAATATTTGTCACAATCGGTATAAGCTCGCCCGCAAAAATTCGACTTACCAATTGCAATAACCCAATCACTAATGCGCATGTTTGCGAATATATATACGGTTTGAGCAGCCTGATCCAATTTAACTATTCATGCGAATTAATACGTCTGGAGCAGTTTGAACCCTATAAATTTTTAGCGAATATATACGTCTGGAGCAGTGAAAGGGTTAATTTTAAATTTTTTCCCAACTGGCATAATAATAGTCCACAGTACAGCCCCCCCTGGAAAGTTGATTACCACATACCTTATAACTCCTGAGGTGCATCCTTTTGACGAGTCTACCACACTTTTCCTCTGCAACTTTTCTCGATTCCTCCGCTTTTCCATTTGGAAAAGTCCAAATACATGGCAATTTCCCGGGATCTTGAAAAGTCAAGACCACATCTTTTATTTTTAACTTCAGTTACTGGAAATTTTGTTGCAAATGCCGATTTAAATTTGTCCGATAGAAATTCTTCCGACATTGACGTGTCTTCCGGTCGAAACATGTCAAAATAACAGGGTATTGAAAATCAATTAACACATTTCTATCGTGTGTTATTTTTGTCCGACATGTGGTAATCGATTTATCATACCCCTTGAAAATACCGATTTTCAGCTGTCGGACTGAAAAAATGCGGCTTGAAATTTGTCGGGCAACAATACTTTTTGACTGAATTAATTATTTACAATTAATTTTACTAAAAATTACCTATGTGGTAATCTAAAACGATGGTCTTTAGTGTCAATGAGTAGGTTTGCCATGGTTCTCCTCTCATCACCCTAACATATGAAAATGTGTATAGCAGTTGTCTGTCATTTGCCGCAGACATCTGGACAATGGTTCTGTACCACCACCCATCCCATTACAATTTTTTTGTGAAAAAAGAACCTTTTGAACGATAAAGTATAATTGATATATTTTTGTTTTGTTTGCATTTTAGTGAACCCAATCGGAATTATCTTACATTTCCAAAAAATATTATAAACATGTCAAAAATGGAACAAAGTTATTCATAAATGAGACGTATCATAAAGTATTTTGAGGTACAGGCATGCCATTTTGACATATTTTGAAATAATCCGCTTTAAATTTATCCTGATCTTTTCTAATCGCTAATATGTCATATCTATGTCACTGATTAGAGTTGGGACTTTTTTCAATATCTTCATTCAAATCAATCATTCTGATAGTTAGGATGTACCTAAATTATCCAAAAGAGGCTTTTATTTTCTTTATATGCTGCGAAAGGAAATACGGCTCTTTTTTGGTACATTAAAGCAGAAGTTTCTGAGGAGAATAGTAAGTTTGCTTTTGAGTCAAAGCAGGCTTTAAAGGCCTTCTCAAACATGTCCAAATGAATATTTTAAAAATGTCGAAAGGTAAAATTCGAATTTTTAAACATCTCTATTCTTGCTGTTAAACTAGACAGTAAAAAATATATTTTTATTTTTTTGCAGCAAATACAGTGACCGCTATGATAGGCGAAGGGACAGAGAGTAAGTATTATTGAAAATCAAATTTTATTGGTTTAAATTTTACACAATATTTTTTTTTCTGTCTATACCCAAAGAATAGAAGACTGCATGGTAATGTACAAAATGTGTACAGAACTTAATTAAATTTAAAAAAGTACTAAAGGCGAATTTGTAAACTTTTTCCATTGCTATTCCTATTACCTGGGAAATGTGGCTGGTTGTTTCTGTCAAATAAATTTAAAAATTCCTCCTAAATATCGTATTTGATATTGAAAATCTAGATTTGCAAAAGATCACCCTCTTGTACAAGATTCTTTACTGATGATTTACTGGAAACAACTACTCTACTGGCTACATGACCTGACTAGCATTGATTGAATTATACCAGCGACACCTAATAAACGGTAAACAATAATTAATAATTAAATGAAAACAATATTTCTAATTATTATTAATTTAAGGACATACCTAAAATATTTTATTCATGTTATTCTAACCATCAACCCTGACAAAGACTGAATTATAAAAATAGCCACAATAGTTAAGAAATCGTAAATCATTTCTGTATTTTACTTTAGGTTTGCTTTTTTAAGTGGCATCCTTACAAATGGAACTAATAAATATTAATAGAACAAAATTGTATATAAAACACAAAACTTTAAAAAAATATCTCCACTTGCAGAATTGTCTGATGCGGTGTAGCATAAGTTGAGCCACCTATTTAAATACCTCAAAATTAATTCAGTCTGATAGTAAAAAATTTTTTAATTATCTTGAATTAACTTAAATACCTTTCACAAATAAATTTAAAAATACAAAAGGTAATGCAGCGTTATTACAAAAAAAAATAGGACTGATTATTGATAAATCAATATAATAGAACATTTCCTAGGTAGTGAGAACTATAACGGCAACAAAAAAAGCTTATAAAGCGACACTAATTAATTTGTTTTATGATATGATCAAGTTTTTATTTTTGTCATAGTGATTATTATGGCAGAGGTTCCAGATACAGCCACCGTCGATCTCCTTCGCCATATTATAGAAGGCGCCGCTATGATAGATCAAGATCTCGCAGTTACTCGCCCCGTAAGTAACATTTTTAATTAACACTTTTGTTTACAAGAACATAAAGGAATATGATTATACGTTCCACTTTTTTATTCTAGAGAAATATATTATTAACAAAATGTTTTTCCAGATTTTTTTTGTCTAATTTGAAAAAATAAAAAATAAGATCACAAAAATTTTCAAAACATCACAAGAATTATGTTGATTTTAATGACGGAAAAATTTTACTAAATTGTAATGTTGCTGAAATTAATGTTGTGCTCAAATATGTAATTACTGAAAAAAAAATATGAGACGTATATGAGAATATATTTAGAAATTTTTATTTTTCAGTATTGACACATTGCAATAGATTGTTTACAATAGTTTGCAATCATATAAGTCATTCTAGACTTCACATGAGATTATTATGTCGCTACTTGGAATAATCTCTTCTAACTAAAATAAATAAATATAAAAATAAAATATGGAGAAAAATTTAAAAATTTTACTTTGTCTACAGTCCAGCTAGAAATGCTTTCGGATTGAAGGATCTAAAAAAATACATTCTGTAAACAGGATAATCGTATTATATCTGGTTCCAAAATTTTCAATTTAGTTAGAGAATGAAAATGTATTAGTTTTTTCAGTTATTTCTTGTGAAACACAATCAACTGATTTTTACAAATGAAAAGTTTTATCTTCAGCTAATTTTTGAATCTGAAATGTGAGTACGTTACCGTTAGTATAAGATACTTGCGTGCGCTTCTTTAACAATTGTTTTTTTATTATGTAAGTAATGTATTAGTTTATGTGAATTAAGCTCTGTTTTCTGATTATTTGAGCTGTTTAGAATTTTTGGGGGTGAAAGTTTATAACATAAAATATTTACAAACTTTTAGAAAAAAAAAAAATTATTGCAAATAAATATTTGTAAATAAAATAAATATTTACTTAAAAAAACGCAGGTTGGATGGTTTTATTGAGGAAAATAAAACTTAAATTTTTAATATAAGAAAATGTACAACTCGAAAACAAAAAAAACTCAAAATGAAACTTAAAAACTCTACTGAGATCTGTTTTTTTTTTTTGTAAACAGCTGTAAATCACACGTTTGTCACACGGGCTAATGAACAAATAATTTGATTGGTGACTAAGCAAGCAGCAAGCTTTGCAAGTAAAATGTCTGAGCAAAGAACGGGTTGTACATAATTATAATTTTCTCAACACTATTTTGCATGACAGGAGATCTGAGAATTTCAGATTTTGGCAATTACTTCTGCAAGTATTGGCATCATTTGTAACCTTTTCCAAAAAACAACTCGTACACAAGTGTGCTTAAAGATGAATCTACAGAGCCTTCTTAAGCAATTACAAGCCGTGTGACCCACAATTTTGTTTGAAACAATAATTTTATTTAATTCACGTTGGCAATTTAATTTTGGTAAAATTTAAAGTTATTGAAACAATAAGGTCAAGGTTATGTTAGAACACAAAATTCTGTTTCACTGACTTGTTATCGGTGTAATTTATCATGACATTTTACTCATCCCATCGCATTTTTAAATGATCTTTTTTATATATACTTTCAATCTTTGATTAATACCTACTCTCATTAATTCATAATTAAAGTGTTGAATCTTTTAAAAAAATTTTACACTTATTATTCTTGAGATTGGTGTTTTGCATTTGAACAAGTGGAATCGTAAATTACAAATTTCTTTACAACAAAAAGTAATTTGAGTTTCAAACTCAGTCCATTTTATAGAAAATTTGCGATAAAATGAGGGATAGTCTGTTATTTGTGCATTAATTCATATTTTGACAAACTGTAATTGAATCTATTAAAATGTATCGAATACCATCAGAATCTACATCATTAATTTCTTGAATTATGTCAGTTTCACTTAGTTCATCACTGATTGCTTTGTGATGCACTACCCACTCTTCAATATATTCTTTTATTAAGCTCTGATCCAGATTTTTACCCAAATTGGTATAATCTCTTCCAGTTCATTTTCTATCTCTGTAAGTTTTGGCTCAGTGATTTGTCTGGCTAACCTAGCTAATGGGATTTCTTCTTCTTCATCACTGTCACAAAACTTTTCTTCAAGTGTCGCAGGTGGTAATGGTTGTGCAAGCTTTTCCACAAATGGTTAAGACTACATCATAGTCGCTAGGTAGTCATTCTCCGCAAACTGTTAACTGGCGAATACCAAATCTCATTTTGAATTTATGAAGTCACCACGAGCTTGCCTTGAAATCTTCCCTTTGTGTTATTTGTTTATAGAAATTCATAGCTTTCTCCCATAGAATATCCCCAGAAATTGGAGAACCTAAAAAATAATACATACATGTTTTTCCTATTTTTTTTTTTTTAAACATGCTGATACCTGGATCTTATATTTCATACATTTTTATAACCTGTTTAAACAATACAAAAACTTACCTTTTGCTCTTTCTTGGATAAACCACGTAAATAAGACTTTTTCGACTTGGGTTTGAACTAAATTTTAAAGTTTTTCTGTCTGAAGGACCGACATCATTTTCATAGAGATATGCCATGAATTTTTCTTTGTTTTTCTTAATGTCAGAAACTGTAGCCTTCCCAATGCCATATTTGGCTGTAATAGTTGAATAGCTTACACCGGAATCTATATCTTTTAGAACTTGAAGTTTTTCTATTAAACCAGAGTTACGTGCTCTCTTTTTGACATTTCTTACTTCCAAAAAAACTTCAAAACTGTTACACAAAACACGACACGCAACAGGTTCTTCGCTATAGGCAAACAAACTGACATTGGGAGGACAGGCGGGAACGACTGCCGACTACGCACGTACGGATTAGCGTGTGTTCGGATTAAAGAGGTTGCACTGTATAACTATAATAAATTCAAACGTAATCTAGGTATTATTACCAGTAATTAATTTAACCGCTCTCTCAAAGTAGTTATTTCATATTTTTTTATAACAGAATAATACTTAATTCCACTCTTCAAATTGCAACATTATTTTGTTTCCATTTTTCATTTGTGATTGCAAACTGAAGAATATTTATATTCTATATTTAAATATATCTATTATATTTTTCACATATAACAATTATTGAATTTTCATTGTCTCTGGCCTGTACGTATATACAATGTCTACCAAATTAGTTATTGTGTCAATATGTTTCTACAAACAATATAATGGATTATTTACGCTCATACAAAAAAAAAAAACAAATTTCTGTTTTAGCAAAAACTTGCAAATTTAGTTCACGAACAGAAACTACAAACAAGAATCAAATTGTCATGAGCAAAATATCTACAAGTTTTTGTATATTATTATTAGTATATTTTGTGAACGAATGCAATTGTGTGTTTAAATGTTGAATTTGTGAATGACTATCTTATTATTTGATGAGGATTTATATATATTTGAGCTAAAATGTACCGAAGAAACACCTATTAGCTTTTTTCTTTATGTTCTTGTGAATTTATTTTCCTTGTGTTGATATTTGTTTTAATCCGTGTTTACTTCATATGAATTTCAGGTCGTTATTAAACTCCGTGGAGGTACTACGTATTTAAAAAGGACGCATTGTTTAGATGTAATAATTTTGTAGAGGGTTTATTCCATTTTATGTACAAATTACATACTGGAGATACATATTGAATACTGAAATAATTATTTCTCCTCACATTGGCATAAACTCTCTCTAATTTTATATTGTTTGATTCGCGTTAATTTTTTTTCCTGTTTATCAAAAAGTATGGCAAGATCGTGCCATTTATTGTAAATTTAACTAAACCAAAAAAAAAAAATCGAGAAATTTGAAGTTCATTATTAATGGAATGTGTTAGGTTTTATTTTTTTTAATTTATGAATGTGACATTTAGATAGTACCTAATAAATACATAATTCCTAGACTAATCTTTGTTTTTTGTGTTTTTTAAAAAGGGTTAAGAACAAGAGGTTTTGGATGAAATTGAAATTTTCTCAAGTTGCGTTAAACACTTCAATGTGAAGCTAGCTAATGTCAATGAATTCAGCAATGAATATAAAGAATGAAAAAATGAAAATCATCAAGAGAATTGAGAAAATTTTTTGCAACTCTCTTGAAGAATGAAATTGTTTTTGTCTTTAGAAGTCATCTATATATCATGAATTGCATTGAAAACAAGATCGTTCAAGTCCCCTTCAGACTATTCTTACCAGACCGTTAGCCAATAATTGCCACAATAAAAACTATGAACACATTATACCGAAAAGATTTTCCCGAAAACTAATCCTATCAGTTTCAACGTCCAAAAAATCAGCATAAAACTTAAGAATGTTATGTAACAAGAAAAAATTATTTGTCTAGCGCCTAATGAGGGTAAGTAGTTTATTATTCAAACAAACATATACACTTTCAGGAGTATTTAAATGGATATGTGGAAGCTTGACAAAAAAATTNTTTTCACATATAACAATTATTGAATTTTCATTGTCTCTGGCCTGTACGTATATATAATGTCTACCAAATTAGTTATTGTGTCAATATGTTTCTACAAACAATATAATGGATTATTTACGCTCATACAAAAAAAAAAAACAAATTTCTGTTTTAGCAAAAAGTTGCAAATTTAGTTCACGAACAGAAACTACAAACAAGAATCAAATTGTCATGAGCAAAATATCTACAAGTTTTTGTATATTATTATTAGTATATTTTGTGAACGAATGCAATTGTGTGTTTAAATGTTGAATTTGTGAATGACTATCTTATTATTTGATGAGGATTTATATATATTTGAGCTAAAATGTACCGAAGAAACACCTATTAGCTTTTTTCTTTATGTTCTTGTGAATTTATTTTCCTTGTGTTGATATTTGTTTTAATCCGTGTTTACTTCATATGAATTTCAGGTCGTTATTAAACTCCGTGGAGGTACTACGTATTTAAAAAGGACGCATTGTTTAGATGTAATAATTTTGTAGAGGGTTTATTCCATTTTATGTACAAATTACATACTGGAGATACATATTGAATACTGAAATAATTATTTCTCCTCACATTGGCATAAACTCTCTCTAATTTTATATTGTTTGATTCGCGTTAATTTTTTTTCCTGTTTATCAAAAAGTATGGCAAGATCGTGCCATTTATTGTAAATTTAACTAAACCAAAAAAAAAAAATCGAGAAATTTGAAGTTCATTATTAATGGAATGTGTTAGGTTTTATTTTTTTTAATTTATGAATGTGACATTTAGATAGTACCTAATAAATACATAATTCCTAGACTAATCTTTGTTTTTTGTGTTTTTTAAAAAGGGTTAAGAACAAGAGGTTTTGGATGAAATTGAAATTTTCTCAAGTTGCGTTAAACACTTCAATGTGAAGCTAGCTAATGTCAATGAATTCAGCAATGAATATAAAGAATGAAAAAATGAAAATCATCAAGAGAATTGAGAAAATTTTTTGCAACTCTCTTGAAGAATGAAATTGTTTTTGTCTTTAGAAGTCATCTATATATCATGAATTGCATTGAAAACAAGATCGTTCAAGTCCCCTTCAGACTATTCTTACCAGACCGTTAGCCAATAATTGCCACAATAAAAACTATGAACACATTATACCGAAAAGATTTTCCCGAAAACTAATCCTATCAGTTTCAACGTCCAAAAAATCAGCATAAAACTTAAGAATGTTATGTAACAAGAAAAAATTATTTGTCTAGCGCCTAATGAGGGTAAGTAGTTTATTATTCAAACAAACATATACACTTTCAGGAGTATTTAAATGGATATGTGGAAGCTTGACAAAAAAATTGGATAATGGGCGTGAATGTGTCCAATCCTGTTATTGACAGTTACATATTTCTTTTTTTTTTAGAAATTGTTCAACAGCAATTTGTATTTTTACTGTTTCAAATGTTTTTAGTTTTTAAAAATGCTTTGCTCAAATTAATCAATTATATTTAAATTTGAACTGCAGATTTCACAAACAATGTAAAAAATGTAATGTAATATTTCACCTTTGCTATTTGTACAGTAACTGGAAATAATCTAATAATCTTTAATTATTACCTTAATTTTATTAACTATGTGTTTTAGGAGTTTTTTACTGCTTGGTTGGTTACTGTATTTATAATTTAGATATATACAAATTAATTTTTTTCATATGCACTTTTAAAACATGTCATCTTGATCTGTTTTTTTCCATTTGTTTCTAATTTCGAATTGTGGACCATTTCTAATCATTTGAAGATAAATTACTTCTTTTAACTCAAATACATTTTTTTTCATAAAAAAAACTACTTTTTTTGTAATAAAGCTCACACTTATAGTTTACCATCATATTTACTGTTTTTTTATTCTTTATTTGTATGCAATTTAAAAAAACTTTTTCTTCTAATGAACAGATTGCATATTTATTAGAGGAATGTGTAAAGCGTCATCTAGTCAAGTACAGTTTTATTACAAAACTTGTGGTTTTATGTTCTGCTGGATATTATAATTGTGTTTTAAATTTGGTTAAATATACTGTATTTCATGGTAATTTTAGAAACGGTTGTTTCCAAGGGAGGGCAATGAAGTAAAAAAAATAGAATTATCATGCTAATGAAAATTGTAACGAGCGTTCAAATAAAAACATGGTCAAGTTGGTTCTGAAAATTTGGACGTAGGGCGTAGCGTATAACAAATGAACTTAAACGTCATCTGTCAAAGCGCTATATCGCCGCTATCAATTTGAATATTTTGGTTTTAAAAAGCGTTTAAAATGGTGTTTTCTCAAGAACAAAAAGTGTTTATCATAGAGTCTTACTTTAGAAATGGACGCAAGATTGATGGAATATGGAAGTATTCTATTGAGGAATGTTTCATAGAATTTCAAAATCAATTTCCTGGCGTTGTTGAGTACAAAATTTTTCAAAGTGCAGTTAAGCGTTGTGTTAATGTTTTTCGTGAAACGGGCAGTGTAACAAGAAAAGAAGGAAGCGGCCGACCTAAAAAGCGGACTGAAGAATTAAAAGAAAATGTCCAACAAATAATGGAAAATGCGCCAAGAACTTCTGTACGTGTTTTATCACAAATGGTGGGAGTGTCAGTCGGTACCTGCCACACAGTGTTAAAAAAAGCTTCTTTAATTGTTTGTTATTGTTATCACGATTATTCTTTAAAATAAAGTTATATAGTCATTAACGTTATTGAAACTGACAGCTGCTATACAGCTCGTTGAGAAATGAGGTTAAGTTGGTCGCTATAAGCTACTCCCTACGTCCAATGTGTCGGAGCCAACTTCGACCACGTTTTTATTTGAACGCTCGTTATATTCTTTAACTTTAATGGTGGTGTACATTTTATTATATATTATTTGAAGGGGAAACATTATTATTTTTCATTTTATGGAAAAAACAATTCTTGATAAAGGAAAGTTGCTTATTCTTAAAATAAAGTGGACAAGAATTTTGAGTTTGCATGTGCAATGTTCAGGATATGAAAAAATTCTGAAAATGATACTACCCCTATTTTTAATGGTATGAAGTAAAAAGTTATTCACATCAGAGTTTACATTTGTATATAAATTGGTCTACTTCGATTGTTTTTTTTTTTTTAATAGAAAGGAAAAATATGCTGTTTTGAAAATACTATTATAGTAAAAAAATTGTTTCTGAATATCAGGAACAGTTATCCTTTATTTGTAAGTTAAAGAATTAATCAGTCTAGATTTTTGTATATCGATTAAAGGTATTAAAGATGTTTTCTCCATTCATTTATATTTTATCAATTTTTCCTATTTCTGTTAAAGTAGGTAGATTTAGCCACAATTTGAAATTCTGACAACTTTTGACTTTTTTATCGATAAAGTTGAGAGCAGTTAATATCATTTGTCCTGAACACTACAGGGTGATACACTATTTTGACCCCCCATTTACTTTTCCATTTTAAGAGTTTAAAAAAAAAATAGAAAAACAAATGAAGTCCAAACAAAATGGCCCGTGGATGTTAATTTAAATGGAACACCCTGTATATTTTACATATTTGAAAAGAACATTCTCTGTTGAGCGTAGTCATACAAGGTGTTAACGAAATAAGTACTCGAAATTTGAGAGCATTTATAACATGTTGAAACATAATGAAAACTGAGTTTTTGTCAGTGGCGGCCCCTTGAAGGGGTAACTCACAAATAGTAATTTTCTCATGGCACAATTTGATACGTTTATTTTGCAGCGGGAATATTTGAGCACGTATTGAATTATTGAAATGGATTTTACTGGAAAACGGCTCATGCTATCAAAATCTAACAAGAGTACCTGTTTTTATGCAAAACATAATAAATTTTTATATTTTCGGTTCAGGAAGTAGAAAAAATGCGTACAAAAAAAATGGTAAAATTTGCCCCATAGTTCCACATTTTCTTACGTCCCTGTAGCAAATTTTTGTGATTTAATATAAAACCATTTTGCAGTTATGCAATAATGTCTGTTTCCTGAGTTACCCCTTCAAGGGGTTGTATCTCCCTTAGAGGCCACCACTGACAAAAACTAAGTACTAAGGTTTTCATATTTCAACATGTTTTACACATTCTCAAATTTTGAGTACTTATTTTGTTAACATCTTAGTTATTCACAAATGGTGACAAAAATGGAACCTCGTATTCTTTGGTGAATTTTAAGGGGTCTTTCCTATAAAGTTTTTATCTAGGACACTTTGTTAAAAAGATACAGGGTATTAAACTTCAAAAAATATTTTCGGATTCGTCGTTCAATTTTTTACGAATTGTTTTCTCGAAAAAAGCCTGATTTTTACGTAAAACTTAAAAAAAACCAACAAAACATTTTTACTTAAATGACATGACAAGCACTAATTATTCGGTTATTTATTTGAATAAAGAAATTTATAACTATGCTCAAAAATACCTCCATTTCCATGAACACAGGCCTGACATCTTTTTAGTAACGAAAATGTAATTTGTTCGAAATTTATTGTTGCTTGAATCTGATGAAAAGCATTTATTCTTCTAACTGCTCAGAATGTCAAAGTTGCTATCACAGCCCACTGTGTAATTTTAAAAAGCATTATATACAAATATCGAAGTGTGTTCTCAGTTCGTTTTTTAAGTTTTACTCAAAAATCAGGCTTTTTTTTAAATTGAAAGTTGAATCCGAAAATATGGTTGTTACCGTAAAGCAGTGACGTACTATTTTATTCAGAAAAATATGCCACCGATACCCTGTATCTCTGCCAATGGAGCATGTAAATTTTAGGAAAAGCCCTCAGATTTTGGACAATGTTTACATAAATACATGTGTCCAATTTCAAATTACTTTACTTACCAGTTTTCAAATTGTTAATATTTTTTGAAGTTTAACACCCTGTATCTTTTTAACGAAGCGTCCTAGATAAAAACTTTATAGGAAAGACTCCCCTTAAAAATCACCAAAGAATACGAGGTTTCATTTTTGGTCACCATTTGCGAATCACTCTGTATAAGGTTTGTTGGGTCTGCCTCTAACAATAAGCGAGATACTATTAAAAAACGAAAAGAAGGTGTTTTATTAAGAAAACAAGATATATTGTAATTGTTAGACCACTTTCAGACATTTCTGCCTTTTTTTACAATTAACATGCATACAAAATTAAAATTCTTCATGGCAACCTTGTTTTAAAAACAAATATTTTTTTATCTAGAATGCCTCTATAAAATGTGAAATAAAAATATTTTCCATCTTATGCTCTGTCACCTTAGACATATATTATATTATATTTATAGAAAAAAAATATTTCATAAAAAATTGTAGTACATTATGGTCCACTATTTTAGAATCTTGAAAGGTCAATATAGATTAAATAAATACCATTAATTTTTCATTACCATATAATAATAATGTTTTCATGTCTTTATTTTTAAATAACACATGTATTTTTTGAGGTAGGTCTCTCCAAAATATAAAAGAATACGTGGAACTCCTTGCATTATTCAGATCTTTTTGAAATTTTGTCCCACTGAAAAATTCATTAATGCTAATTAAACCGTCATATTTGATGAGTGTTAGCCAAACATACGTTTGCTGTTTCCAAAAGTTATAAAAATGGATGTACCTAATACTTCCATGTTTTTTTTGTTGGTGATTGGGCGGATTTTAAAATTTTATGGTGTGATAAGTGCCCAAGAAAAAACTCAAAATAATTCCATTTATTTTTAGTGATAGCAATATAATTGGCTACTGCTCTTCATCAGTGTCCTATTAAATGTGTTAAATGTCTTCGAATGCCTTTCAGAATACAAATAAGAAACGAAAAGTTTCTAGTTAACACATTTTTTAAGTGGTTATGTGTTGCAACTTTTTGATGTTTTAAATATTGTGTTTTTGAAATATTTACTGGAAAGAGGTGAATACTTTTCAATGATTTATATAGGTGTTAAGTATTATGTAAACTTAATCAATTAATTAATAATTTATTGTAATAAGCTTCTTTCCAGTAAACCTCAATATCTTTTTGTTAATAAAAATTTGAAGTGTTAGTATCACACTTTCTATTGAATTTTAAGAAGTCGTTCAAAAACATAAGTTTACAAATATCTCATTTTAGTAGTCAACTTATTTGAATATTGAAGTAGTAGACTTGAGAGGATTTTTTAAGAAAAAAAAAATGACAAATATGGGCAACTTTAATGTTGAAGTAAAGTTTGGAACTATATGGATACTATACTATACTTTAGAAGATGAAATTATGGTATACCATGAATGTATTATATTATGGGGGTAACTCGATAAACTAAGAAAAAATTATGAAGAAATGTCCATTATTTTGTATCTGATATAGTAAAATAAAATAATGTATAAATTGTAAGTTCTTTAATTTTTCCACAGTAAATCCTTAGTATTTAAGTAAAGTGAAAATTATATTTGTAATTCAAAAAGTGATTTATTTCGTAACGAAGTAAAGCTTTTGAAAAGTCCATGAGTTTGATCATATTTTGATAATAAATAATTGAACCCATAATAGTTTGTCGGGTATAATTTCTAGGCCCAGATAGAAAACTTCCATCACGAAAAAATGTTGAATGAAATTTGCAAGCAGCTATATATTTGTAATGTTTTTTTATATTCGACTGACATCAATTGTGTTTTTTATTGTTTATTACAAGATAAATTTTTTTCATAGTGACACATTCCATTTTTTAAACTTCATAAAGCTAAGAAAAATTGAAAAAAAAGAAAAGACCTGTTTGTCTACAGGGGACGTTAAAATAACATGACCAGTTCCTATAAAAAATTTTCCCTAGAGGCCCCCCCCTACTGAAAAACAGGCCTCTAATGGATGCCAATGAAAAACTTAAAAAATACTTTTTAATTATTTTTTTATACAATGGAGGATCCAACAATCTTCAATTCGCAGAGCTAGGGATTGCATAACGAGAAGCTCATGTTGAACTGACACAAAATTATGTAGGAAAAATCATATTAATGACTTATCCCGTGATCTATGATTATAGGATTAACAATCACTCTCTTACTCGCTCCAATTATATAAAAGATTTGGGAGTAACGTTTGTTCAAAATTTATCTTTTCTTGAACACATACGCAGTATCTCTTCATCATCTTATAGATGCCTTTGGTTTCTGATCAGAAATTGTAGAAATTTTGCTGCTAACAATAGTAAATTTACATAATTGTTTTGTAAGATTTTGCTTGGAGTATATGCTTCAATAGTTTGGTATCCTCAGTGTGCAGTCTATAAAAAAAACTTAGAAAACATTCAGAGAAAATTCTTAAAATAATTCACTTCAGAACTAGAGGAATATATCCAAACATTGGATTTTCTCACAATATAGTCCAATTAAATAAGCCTTTAAATCGAAGTTTTGGTTAACTTGCCTGAATTTTTTATGTGAGTTAGTTTGAGGTATATTATAACAATAAGTGATAGTAATTTTTTGTTCAACTCCCGGCCAAGGGTGAAAAAAGATAAAATAAAGGGGTTTTTCAAGATAACTCAAAAGGGGTAAGGGCTAGAAGAAAAAGATTCTTATAAAAGTTGTAAAGCATACAATTCTACATAAAAATGGCCTCTTGACTTTTTCTTGTACTATTAAAATTAACAGAGTTAGGGAGGCTAGAAGTTAAGGGAAGATTTCAGAAATTTAAAAAAATCATAACAAGCAGGAAAACGAATGAATTTGTAATTTTTTTTTCAATCTACTCTAAAAAATGTAACCTTTCTTTTCAGAGAAATAGACATATTTTTTAATTTTTAATAAGAAAGTTGTAACAATTTCAAATTTGTTGTTCACCCCCTAAACAGAGATTTTAACGAAAACCCCGAAACAGGTCAATTTAATTTTGTCAATTTGTTTACATAAATCATATTTTTAATTCTTTTTAAGTAAATATGAATTTTTATAAATAAAAAATGTAGTTTTTCTTAAATAAAAAATAAAGGGTAGCAACCCCCAAACACGGAATCACTTGCGAAATATTTGTTTTTTATAAGTAATTTCCATTTTGTTTCATTTCAAAATATTGATTAGAACCCCAGATGCCCAGATATTTAGAAAAAATGTTTTGGGGGATGAAGGGGTGTATTTCACCCTGCAAATATGTTTTTCCGCAGATAAAAAAAAATACGTGTTAATTTTTTATATTCTACAACATATATAAAAATCTTGAAAATCAGTGTTCGGGTTGGGGTAATTTCCTTGGAAGAAAATTTCTGGTTCTCTTAATGTTTTGGACAGGAAATTATATGATATATATTTATGTTATTGTTATCACTATGTTATTTTTAATATAATTCAAACTACAAGTCTACAAATATTATGAATAAATTAACACATGTTTTACATAGACAAGAACGGGTAAAAATATCGAGCTTTTACAAAATTTAATCAACAGAAAATATTAGTCCTTAAATATTTACCTTTTTGAGATTAACAATGGATATTGAGCATACAATAATTTAAAGAAACACACGTTTACTGACGCACGCGCATTGACAATAGCCAATGAAATAATATATCTTTGTCATAGGCATACGAGTTGTCCACGACTTCAGTACCATGAGTGTGACAAAGCAAACGTGATTTTTTATCTTTGTCCTGGCAGTGTCGTAGGAGCTAAATAAAAAGTAAATAAATTTGTATCTGTCTAAAAACAAATGTAAAAAAAATTTCGAAGGCAACTTATACATAATAATCAATCGAATGGCATAGAAAAATATTGTTTGTGTTAAATCATTAAAATTAATGATTAAAAATTTGAAATTGTTATAACTTTCTTATTAAAAATTAAAAGATATATCTATTTCCCTGAAAAGAAAGGTAACATATTTTGGAGTAGATTGACAAAAAAAAAATACAAAATTCATTTTTCTGCTCGTTATGATTTTTTTTAATTTCTGAAATCTTTCCTTAACTTCTAGCGTCCCTAACTCTGTTAATTTTAATAGTATAAGAAAAAGTCAAGAGGCCATTTTTATGTAGAATTGTATGCTTTACAATTTTAATAAGAAACTTTTTTTTTCTAGCCCTTACCCCTTTTGAGTTATCTTGAAAAAACCTTTTGTTTTATCTTTTTTCACCCTTGGCCGGGGGTTGAACAAAAAATTACTGTCACTTATTATTATAATAACATACCTCAAACTAACTCATATCAAAAATTCAGGCAAGTTGACCAAAAAGGCTTATTTAATTGGAGTAATAATAAACATTAAATTGTTAGTCCCCTTACCTATTTAACTAACAAGTGTATCAGGAATAATGTGTTCCCTGATATTCTTAAACTAGCAAAAGTTATTCCTATTCATAAGAAGAGACCCATGGATGACCCGTCTAACTATAGACCCATTTCCTTAACTCCAATTATATCCAAGATTTTGGAAAAGATCCTAAAGTATCAAATTAATGAATATTTTGAAACAAACAACTTATTTCACTCCTGCCAATTTGGCTTTCGTAATAAAAGGTCCACCTCACTAGCAATAAACAACTTAATGCACTCAGTTCTGAGTGGCTTTGAGAATAAAGACATTACTAATGGTACTTTATATGACCTTACTAAGGCTTTTGATTGTGTGAGCCACAACATTTTAATTCAAAAACTTTCGCACTATAACTTTGATCCAAATAGTATCTCCCTTATTAAGTCATATCTCAGTGATAGATCTCAATTTGTTTCTTTTAATGGAAGTAAATCTTCATGCTTAACCATGAATCACGGAGTCCCACAAGGAT